CTGTGAGGCTTTCCGATAGAATCCCTTTGTGGTGCTTTCCAGAGGTTTCCTGCTGTGAGGCTTTCCAGAAGAATCCCTTTGTGGCGCTTTCCAAAGGATTCCTGTTGTGAGGCTTTCCAATCGACTCCCTTCGCTGTGCTTCCCAAAGGATTCCGATTGTGAGGCTTTTCCATGGAATCCATGTGTGGCGCTTTCCAAAAGATTCCGATTGTGAGGCTTTCCAAAAAACAATAAAAACAAGACAATCAAAAAAACAAAAACAAAAAAAACTGTCAGATAGAATTCCGTGGTCGACCGGCAGATTCAATTCGATTTTTTTTGTTTGGGGGGGGGTTGTGGTTTGTTGGTTTTCTGATCCGTTTTCGGTTTCGCTCGGCCTCCACAGAAGGATGCCTAATAGGCATCCTTCTGTGGAGGGTCTGCATCGGGTCTGGCGCCCCTCCTCCTCCTCCTCCTCCTCCTCCTCATCCTCTTTCCTCCTCCTCCTCCTCCTCCTCCTCCTCCTCCCTCCTCTTCCTCCTCCTCCTCCTCCTGTCTTTCTCCCCCCGCCCGTCCCTCCCCTGTCTCCTGCAGCTCGCCCTCGCTCCTCCCCGACTTTGCCCTCTTAACCCTCTCTGCCCTGGCCACCCCGACGTGTGCACGAGCGTCGCGGGGCAGCGGCTGCGCGGCCGGTGGCTCGGCGCCGCCCTGGCGGCTGGGCCCGGCGGCCCCCCGCCGAACAGTCTGCCGCACGGCTCCAGGCGCGCGGGCTCTGGGCACGCGCGCGCGGCGGCCCTGCGGGGGCCTGCTCTGAGAGGCAGGCGCGACGTGGAGAATCGAATCGCTGGTCTTCGTCGCCTGCGGCTGCTCGTCGCCTCTGCCTTCCCAGGGACCGTCAGAGGCGGACCTGGGATGCAAAACTACCCCCCCCCCCGGGGGAGGAATCCCCCGGACGACTCGTCAACATGACGAGCAAAGTTCTCAGTACCCTGCGGGGGCCTACAGTCGCCAGTTTTGATCCCCGTGGCCCCCCGACTTCAGTGTTCGGCGACGCGCGCGATGCGGCCCGCGGTGTCCGAGGAGAAAGCTGGCAGTCGCCAGTATCGGCGCGAACATTGATCTCGGGGAATGATGTAGGCGCAGAGAATGGAACGGAACGCCCGAGAAGGAGTGTCATGTTGCATCTTCGGCAGACCTTGCCTGTCCCAGCGGGCCCCTATCCGCGTCGAGTCCGTGTCGAATCCACGTCGAACTCGTCGAACCCGCGTCGCATCCAGGTCGAATCCGCGTCGAACCCACGCCAAATCCGCGTTAAGTCCTCATCGAGCCCGCGTCGGGCACAAAAGGAGACACCGACTCTGGGGACGTGAGGTCCTCCCCCCCCTCCGGGAGCGCACGCGACGAGCGATCAACCGGCGGGAGGCGAGGTCCCCCGAAGATGCACCGTAGGGGGTGCGCAGCACCAGAACGACCGCGCCTGGGGGAAAGCAGGGAAGGGGAAGCCTACGTAAGCAAAAGCTTCTGGATGGGCTGCGCGGGACTCTCGGATCGGCGCTGGATCCCCCCCTGGCAAGGGGAGAAGGGAGGAAGGAAGGGATAGAGGATGAAAGACGATGGAGTACAGAAGGGCTGCTGAAATAAGGATCACTACGCACAGAACGACACGCCTTTTTGGGCGCCAATAGTGCTGGGTGCAAGAGGAGGGCTGGAGGAACAACCACGGAACGATCTGAGGAACAGCGAGCCCCTTCCGAACTGGAAGCGGTCCCTACCTCAGCGTCTTGGCTGTACGGGGAGGGGTCGTTGAGGACTTAACGACTTCTGGTGTCCCATCGACTCGCACTGGAGCGTGTCCACGATTTGCTCTGGATTTTCGTGGTCTCTGAGTTGGCCTCGATTTATCTGGGCTTACCTAGGTCTACCTGGACCTGCTTCGATGTGACTGGCTTGATCCCCGTACGTCGATGGGAGAAAAGCTGCCACACCTTCAGGGCAGGGAGGATGAGGGGACGGAGGGAGGATGAAGGCCTTCTCAAACCCCTTGTCGATCCCCCCCTCTCTCCTTCCCCAGTCCCCCCCTCCTCCTTCCCTGGGCAAACCGAAAGGTACCAACACCGCTGCCTCAGACCTCTTCCCGGGGGGCGTTCTGACCCGAATTTGAAGGCGAATCCAGGGGTGGCGACGAGGGCCTCCCAGGAAGGCCCACAATGGCGAAGTCGAGGCAAGGGCACCGGCAAGAGAGACATTTTCCTCCTCTGATCCTCCTCCTCGCTCTCCCCCCCTCCTGGGCACCCCGGTGCTGCCCAGCGCCGACGGGGGGGGGGGGGAAAGTTGCGTCCTGGTGTTTTGCGCTCCCTGCCCACGATCACCAAGGGCGCAGTGGATATGGATAACAAAGTCTGGCCCCTGGAAGCTAGATGCTTATCCACATCCACTGCGCTTCGGCCTTGTGGCGCCCCTTCCCAAAACCCCAAAGACGCAGTGGACCTGGACACAACTCTTGCCCGCAGGAAGCACACCCGCCCCCCGGCCAGCCGCACCCTGGCCCCTGGAGCGGCGCATGCGCCCCACCCCGTCGGCCTGGCCAGAGGGGCGCGCGTGCCGCCCCTGGACCTGGCATGGGTTTGGCCAAGGACGGTGGTTAATGGCCGGCTCTCGCCGCACGAGGAGGGGGAATTCGAAAGGGGCCGAGGGACACACCAACAAATTGCCACGAAGCCCGGGATTCTCAATCTTATCATACATGTTGTTGTTTCTCATGTCCCCCCCCCAGTTCCCATATTTTTCTGGGAAGTGCCGATTCCTTGTGCCTGTGCGATCACCCCTGGCAGTGCATCGCAGGACCCTGGTCTCGGGAGGCAGGAACAACAAAATTATCACAGTGCGACCCTACCTAGGAGTTGGAGCATTTAGGAAAGCAGCATCTACATCTACACCGACAGCTACATGTACATCTACACTTGCATCTACATCAACATCAACATCAACAGCGAGACTCACATCTACATCTACATCTACACCTACGCTCGGCAGCGCTGTGATGTGCTAGACTATGATATGCTATGCTACGATGCGCTATGCTGTGCTATGCTATGCTATGAGGCGCTATGCTACGATCTGCTATGATATGCTGCGCTATGCTATGCTTTGCTAGGCTATGATATGATATGCTATGCTGCGCTATGCTATGATATGATAGGCTATGTTATGTTGCACTATGCGATGATATGATATGCTATGCTATGCTATGATATGCTATGTTATGCTATGCTGCGCAATGCTATGCTACGCAATGCTATGATATGATATGATATGCTATGCTGCGCTATGCTATGCTATGTTATGATATGCGATGATATGATATGATGAGCTATGATATGAGATGCTATAATATGCTTGGCTATGCTATGATATGATATGCTGTGCTAATGTTGCGCTGCGCTATGCTGCGCTGCGCTAACATAGTTAAGCCCAGCTATGCTATGCTAATATAAGCTAGGATAGGCTAAGTTAAGCTAAGCTAAGCTAAGCCAAGCTAAACTAAGCTATGCTAGGCTAAGCTAAGCTAGGCTAAGCTAAGCTACGCTAAGTTAAGCGAGGCTAGGGAAAGCTCAGCTAAGCTAAACTTAGCTAAGCTAAGATGGGATAGGATAAGTTAAGCTAAGCGAAGCTAAGCTAGGTTAAGCTAAGCTGAACTAAGCTAAGCTAAGCTGGGTGAACCCAGGGGGCGCAACTGGGGGAACCGCGGGGCGGGGACTGGGGGAACCGCCCTAGGCGTTTTCCACTGCCCGGCCCTTTTAAGCAAACAAAGTAAAAGCCCTCTAGGCAGAGCCTAGGTAGGGAACTAACTCGCGAAACACTAGACCCCCCCCAGCCGCGACGAATGAAAACTGTGGCCGAGACTAAGTCACCCCCCCAAAACGATAGATAACGACTGCGACGGGTCCGATCGAAATTGACCCCCTGGAACGATGAATAACGGCGGGAACGTTCGACCACTGACCGTCCTCCCCTTGACGACTGAACCAGCCTGAAAGTACTTACCGGGTCAACCTCTCATAACCGGGGGTGATCATGTGTGTGTGTGCTTCTCTTTCCCCCCTGAGGCCGAAGATCCAAAATTGTAAAATCGCGAATTATCACGAACAAAACCACACACCACATTTTTCCGCAACAATTGTCGACGCGGATCGATGATTATGTGATGGCCCCGGGGTCCGAAACCGGGCGGACACGCCCACCCTGACTCCAGATCCGCCGTACTTCGGTTGATGTTCAGACTGAAACATGCGTTGGGATTGCAACGCGAACGATGCGAAACAATCAGGCATCAATTAACGTTCCGACTCAGAATAATGAGACGGCTGTTTTCGCAGCAGGATGGCGGAAACGGCGACAACGCGGCAATCGGCATCAAAAGAGGCTGAGAAGCAGCGCAGAAATTGATGCCCTGCTTGCGGCATCGCCCAAGAGTGCGGCGGATCAAGAACCAGGACAGCGTGACAAAACTGCAACGCTGGGGTCTCACGGAGAGGCAGGACCAGCCAGCACCGAATCTGCGATCCGTTCGAAACGTGCATCGGATCGGGCTGCACTGGCGCGGAATCGACATCGGATCGGATCGGCTGCACCAAACTGCACGACAGCGCCATGAGCCGTGAGACCCGGGCGCTGCACTGTCTGCACACTGGACATCTTTTCGCCGGGCTTCGGGTTCCCGGAACATCGCAGATCGATGTTCTTACCCCGCGAGGGCGCCCTCGCATGCGGCGGTCCTGCGCCTGTTGGCGCCAGCACTGGCCGCAGCCCCGCCCGCGAGCGCCCCGGCAGCAGCGTCATCCCGCCCCCGACGGCACTCGCGGCGGCCCACGCCCATACACGCCCATACACGAGCCAGCACCGGCCGCAGGGTCGAGGGCCCCGGTCGTGATGCTGCACGCTGTTCGCAACGTCGAACATCGGGGAGGGCCCGCAGTCCGCCTGGCAGTGAGCGGCGGGCCGCACCGCAGCGCCGGAGCACATCAAGACTGGAGCGGGGCGGGCTGGCCAGAAGCGATGGCGAGCCAAACCGACTGGATCGGCATGGGAATCCTGGTGAGGCGAGGCCTTCCCCGCCAAGATGGGAGGGGCCCAGGGACACACACACACAAAAAAAAAAAAAAAAAAAAAATCCCAGGATCCCCCACATGCTCCCCACCTGTTCTGGAGGTTCGTCTTCCCCTCCACTTCCCATGTTTTCCACATCTTCCTGGGGATCGACGATCCTGTGTCTGCGTGTTTGTTTTTTCCCTCCGCAAAATTCCGCGGATCCAGGGAGGGGACGACATCGAGCGGCTTCTGGGCCCAAACTCGCATCTCCGGCGGCCGTTCGAGACGATCTGGGCACCCCTGCGACGCCCTCAGCGAGGCGCAGCCGACGGAAGGCACCCCGAGGCTGGAAAAGACAACGAGGACCCGCAAAAACGACCGAGAACCTCTCCCATGGCCATTCGGAACGATTTGGGCACCCCCAACGACACCTTCAGCGAGGCGCAGCCGACGGAAAGCACCCCGCGGGCTGGAGAGACGCCGAGGACCCGCGAGAACGACCGATAACCTCGAGCCTCGGCCAACTGGGGCCACCTGCCACCTGTGGGGGGGGACACCTGGGTGCAGCGTGACAAAACTGCACCGCCCGGATCTCAAAGATAAGATTAAGACGAGGATGTGTGAGGTTCCCCCCCCCTCCGCGTGTGCAGAGTGCTGCAAGACGAATTCCGAAAAGCCGGTACTATCCCCAAATAGTGTTTGCACTTAGGGGACTTTATTATATGAGAAAATATGGGCACGCCGCCGGGATGGCCTGCACGATGGTATTGGCCAGCTTCGCCTTCACCGTGATGAATTTGCCAAAAGCATGTCGCGTTTCCCGGCGTCGGTCGCGTTGGCAGCGGCGTCCGCGCCACGCCCTCCTGGCTTGGCCAGGAGGGCGTATGCACGGCTCCTGGGCGCAGCATGGTCCTGATCTGGAAGCAGCGGACATGCGTGGACCTCGTCGCCCGAGCCTGGACGAGGATAACAATCCGCACCCCCGCTGGGGAAACCTTGGCCCCGCTGGGCAATCGACCCCCCCCCAGGCGGGGGCGGGCGTCGTCTCCTTCGGGCTTCGGGGCGCCCATCCCCACCTGGAGGGGGTGCGATGGGAGAGCCGACCCTGCCGTGTCCCGGCGGCGGCGGGGACGGTTCCGACGACGAGGGCCAAGAGGGAGGAGGAGGATCAGGAGGAGGAGGAGGAGGAGGAGGGATGAGGGGGAGGAGGAGGAGGAGGAGGAGGAGGAGGAGGAGGAGGAGAGAGGAGGAGGAGAGGAGGGAGGAGGAGGAGGGAGGAGGCAGGCAGCAGCAGGAGGACGAGGAGGAGGGCGAGGGGGAGGAGGAGGAGGATGAGGAGGAAGAGGAGAGGATTAGAGAGGAGGAGGAGGAGGAGGAGGAGGAGGAGGAGGAGGAGGAGGAGGAGGAGGAGAGGAGGAGGAGGAGGAGGAGGAGGAGGAGGAGTTCGGCGCCCAGGGTCGGTCTCCCGAAAACCGGCCGTGTATTGCACACGCCCACCCAACAAACTACCGCCCGGAAAGCAGCAACAGCTGCGCAGGAAGGGCATAGGGGGTGACCACGCCGCCTGTGAAGACTCGCGGCCAAGCGTTTCCGACCTGGTGCGTTGGGAGCCAAAGGCATCCCAGTCGGAACAACTGGCACGGCATACGAGCTCCCCAGCCGTGGGTGGGCACAAGGCCCCTTGGGACCCACGTGGCACAAGCCACCGTCTCCCCAGAAAATGCCGATCCCTGAGGGTCAAATCATAGTGAAATGACCGCACAAGCGCCGCTACCCGCCTTCACCAGCAGGGCCAGGCTGAGACTGGGGCCGTGCTGCACCCAACGACGGAAGACCCGTCGATACACGTTTCGCAACGTCCATCCCAAGCCCCAGAGCCCGCGGTTCCAGAAAAGTCGGCCGGTTGCACCCCGCCCAACCTTCGAAATAAGTGCCGTGTACACTGTGCCCCGAGGGCGCTCGGCACTGACGCCGTGAAAACAGGTGCCAGGCCTCACCGGAGGGAGGAGGAGGAGGAGCAGGAGGAGCAGAAGCACGAGCAAGAGGAGAAGGAGGAGGAGGAGTAGGAGTAGGAGTAGGAGTAGGAGGAGGAGGCGGAGGAGGAGGACGAGGAGGAGGGAGGAAGAGGGGGAGGATGAGACGGAGGCGGAAGAGGAGGAGGAGGAGGAGGAGGAGGAGGAGGAGGACGACGACGAGATGGAGATGGAGGAAGAGGAGGAGGCGGAGGAGGGGAGGGAGGAGGGGAGGAGGAGAGAGGAGGAGGAGGGAGGAGGAGGGGAGGAGGGAGGAGGAGGAGGAGGAGGAGGAGAAGCAGGAGCAGGAGCAGGAGCAAGAGGAGCAGCAGAAGGAGGAGGAGGAGGGGGAGGGGGAGGAGGAGGAGGGGGAGGGGGAGGGGGAGGAGGAGGAGGAGGAGGAGGAGGAGGAGGAGGAGGAGGAGGAGGAGGAGGAGGAGGAGGAGGAGGAGGAGGAGGAGAGGAGGAGGAGGAGGAGGAGGAGGAGAGGAGGAGGAGGAGGAGGAGGAGGAGGAGAAGGACGAGGAGGAGCAGCAGGAGGAGCAGGAGCACGAGCAAGAGGAGCAGGAGGAGGAGGAGGAGCCGGAGGAGGAGGAGGAGGAGGAGGAGGAGGAGGAACAGGAGCAGGAGGAGCAGGAGGAGGCCCTCCCCGCCGAGTGCCGCCGCCCGCGCGCAGCAGCAGGGCCTCTGCCGCCGCGCCGCGCCGCGCCGCCCACGACGCGCCGCGGGGGGCGACGCCCACGGCGCGCGGCCGCGCGCGGGAGCGGAGCCGCCCCCTGTGAGGCAGGGCCGAGGTCGGGCATGTCCTCCTACAGGCGGACTTTGGAAAGAAAATGACACACAGCCAGCGAATCTCCAAACATAGCCAGACAGAGTCGAACAATCGTCCCCGGCCTGTTTTTAATATGATTTTCGAGTATCCCTCTTGTAGAGGGACATTTCCGACGTAAGGCAAAGAGCTGTCGAGGCTTCCCAAGTGAGCGACGAAAAGAAGAGGGTCTCACGCGAGATGCAACAGGCGGCCTTCCGCGGTGCCTTACCGCAAATTCGTGTCGTGTCGACCCCGGCGATGATTCCTGACACCGCGGGGATCGCTCCACCTTGAACGATCGGCCGTTTCAGAAACGCAGGATCGCTCAACGATGGGCCGATTCTGGGCTACGGGCGGCGGTCAAACTTAAACGCCCGCGGTGGGGTCGCCGCCGGTCAACGCGACGCGGACCTACCGTACGCGGGCCGCCAGCGCGGCGCGCCATATTGGAAACGACGGCGCTTACGCGCGACCTTACGGCGGGCAACTTGCGCGCCAATGCCGGCGAAGGCGAACCCGCTGCGTCGCTCAAGTGGGGTCCGACCCCGTCTGCTCCGACCAATCTAGGACCAAGAAATCTGGTGGAATGGCCTTCGGGTGTCGGAAACAATTCAGCAACACCCGTGCATAGCGCATGTGGGAAGCCAAATGGTACCGATACCGCTACTCCCCGGACCTCTCCTGGGGTGCGTATCTCCTCCTCCCCCTCCTCCTCCTCCTCCTCCTCGTCCTCCTCCTCCTCCACCGCCCAATGCTGCCTCGAACACCCCTGTGCGGCAGCGGCCCCGTCAAGAGCCAAGTTTGGCTGTGGGCGGGGGGGAGCTGCTGAACCGCTCCGTCAAGCTGTTCTTTATGAGGGCTGTAAGAAGAGGGCGCAAGAAAGCGTTGAGCATGGATTGCGCTTCCGCCCGCCCCCGCAAGAGGAAAGAACACGGGAAAACCGCTCGACTCTTGAAATAGGAATGCGCCCTGAGTATATCGGAATCGAAGAGTTCTAAACATACCTACATTCAGCGCAGGGTGTGTATCCATGACCACCGCCTTGAGGATCGATCTTCGGAGACTTCGGCTGGCCAAGGACATGATGGATATCCGCCGATCCGGCGTGTGAGTTACAAGGAGTCTCAGCTACAGCCTCGAGGCTGAGCCTCAGCCTCCGGGGGGGTTGCCGGGGTGCCTCTGCCGGGGAAGGGGGGGTGGGGGGGGGGGTGCGAGTTTCCGGCGGATGCGTTTTTTGACACCCCTCACAAGGATCGTGGCCTCCGAGGGGGTTCCGAACTCGAGTGCCACCCCTCCCGCACCAAGAGGCTCCGAAGAAGCCTCCAAGAGGCCCCAAGGGGCCCAGAAGAGGCCCCCAAGAAGCCCCAAGAGACTCCCAAGAGACCCCAAAGAGGCCCCCAAGTGGCCCCAAGAGGCCCAAGAGGCCCCCAAAAAGCCCCAAGAGGCCGGCCTCCAAGAGGCCCCCAGAGGTCCCGGCCAACCACGATATCCCAACCAGCGTCCATGAGGCCTCTGACCCACCACCCACGCACGGTGGTGGGATAGGCCGAAGGCCACTGGATAAATGCGGAATGAAAGGGGGAAGGAAGGGAAAAGAGAGGAGGGACGAGGGCGAAGGAGGATCACATCAGTCGGAGCGCCCCGGATCGGCGGCACTGGCCGAAGGCCACTACAATATCTGGGCCCCGACCAATATCCATATTCAGCGCCTGCCGTCCCCGACGACCGATCCAAAACGGTGGCCACCGTCGGCTGGCTGAAAATGGAACGCTTCACAAGGAACGAGGCCCCTTTTTGGCTCCAGAAGCGCCTGCGTGGACGAGGACGGCTAGAAGAACAGCCATTGGAGGACCGAAGGACCTTTGCGGCGAGCCCAAGGGGGAAGTGATAGGGAGAAGGCCTTCTCAGAAGTCCCCGAACCCCCTGGGCCTCCTGAGAAGTTCTCTAAGCCTTCCCCGAAAACGCAACAACTTCTCAGAAGGCGCGACGGCTTCCGAGAAGCTCCGCCTCTCCGTCTCATTTTCCCCCCCTTGCTCGCCGCCGGGGAACGCCGAGCCCCTTGCGAACCTCGAACTGCCCCTCATTGCAGCGTCTCGACTGCATGGCCAGATCCCCGCCTCGAGAGACGAGACAAAAGGCTGTCATTGGGAAGACGGCGGAGGAGGCGGGCGGGGGGAATAATGAGAGGGAAAAAACAATCGAGTATAACATCGACTACATAATTGATTTGATGAAGGGAAACGATTTTTTTACAACCAAAAAAAACTTTCTGGGGCGGACGATTGAAACAATTGTTTCGCGGGCCTCGTCGCCCCCGCAATAGCGGGGGGACAGGGCAGGCAAACGGGGGGCTGGCAATTCCGGGTCGCCTGGAAGGCCAGAGGGGGGGGGGGCACGGGTTGGCGATCCAGGGCGCAGGGGCCAGGGGGGTGGGCGGGGTGATTTTTCAGGGCGAGCTCGTCCTCCTCCTCCTCTCCTCCTCCTCTCCTCCTCTTCCTCCTCTTCCTCCTCTTCCTCTTCCTCCTCGTCCTCGTCGTCCTCGTCGTCCTCGTCGTCCTCGTCGTCCTCGTCGTCCTCCTCGTCCTCCTCCTCCTCCTCCTCCTCCTCCTCCTCCTCCTCCTCCTCCTCCTCCTCCTCCTCGTCCGCGATCTGAGCCTGAGGGAAGCGTAGTAAGGGGCCAGGCGCCCTTACTCGTTCGATGCGCCCCTCGTTCCTCGTGGCGGCACCCAGGGAGACGATGAATGCGCGTGTGGCAAGGAGAGCGCAGGCAGGATATGGAGATAATGAACCACGCGGCGGTTCCCGCTCGGACGTCCTCGCAATTGAGGAGGAGGAAGAATAATTACGAGGAGGAGGGGGAGGAGGAGGAGGAAGACGAGGAGGAAGAGGAGGAGGACTGCTTACGTGCCACGTCGTGCTCTGCCAGGCTACGCTTTGATCTTCAACGCCATGTTATGCAATGTTATGTTCGGGGCCGCTGTGCGATGCCATGCTGTGCGTTGCAAGGATGTGTGATGCAATTCTTCACTACGCCACGCCACGCCATGCTGTGACATACTACGCTTTGCGGTGCACTTCAACGCCATGCCACGCCGTGCTCTACAATGCATCGCGTACCC